GAGCACTTGCATGTCAAAATGCAATTCAAAACGCGTAGCGCGTGCGTCTTCTCACTCAATCTTGTCGTCACCCGTTCCAACAGTGTGCTTCAAACCTGTCCCTTGCATCCTCTCAAAAGCGGGTGTGAAGAAACCAAGTGGAAGTTAAATCGTTCCAAGTGTCAAAGGATGTAGCTATCTTATCCCTTGTACGGCCGGTGACATATCGACTTAAAGTGTGGTCGTCTCACAAAACGTGTGAAGAAATGAAAAACAACTTTACTATCTCTGACCTGGTTCGTAAGGCAGACGCATACGAGTTTCGTAGCATATAACGAAAGGTAAATATTAATACAATAAAGAAGAAGTTTAATTCAAATAAAATTAAACAAATTCTAAATCGAAAAATAGGTGTGTTGTAAATAGTTGTCTTGCCAATTTTAACACTAGTAACCTTCGGATATATTGAATGAAAAATACAAAGTAAAGGTGTCCCTGCCTTCAGTTTTCTTGCTTTCGTGCTTATTTTCTACGACTCCGACCTACTTGTACGTTTTACTTTCTGCCCCCAAAACATCATTCCCCCGATCTACGCAGCTGTCAGAAGAAACGGAGAAATCGAAACAATCACGATTACCGAACTCATTCTTGGATATGGTTCAACGACAAAACACCTCCTACCCCCACACAGTGCTGGTAATGACGAAATCAACGATCGTAAAAAAGAGCGCCAGTGGGCTGACGAGACCGGGCCCTGGTCACCCTCCGGCATTTCAAAAAAAACCAAGGGCCAAAAAACGACATAATAACCACTCATCAGTCTCTCGTCCCTGCTACCAGGGCCTGTCCCACAAGAGTGCTATGATGACGAACCAACGATTGGTAAAAAGAGCGCCACGGGCTGACAAGGGGGCCATCTAACCCGTCCGGCCATTCCAAAAACCGAAGACCAAACGACGTAATAAAGCTCAATCAGTCTTAAGTGCTGCTACTAGCGCTGCCACACTAGGAGTGCTATAAGTGCCGAACAACGATCGTAAATGAGCGCCAGGGGGCTGACAGAGGGCCCTGTCACCCTACGGCATTCAAAAACCAAGACCAAACGGCGGGATAATAAAAACTTCGCCAGTCTCTCCTTCCTACCGCACAAGAGCGCTAAAACGCCGAACCAACGTCGTAAATTGCGCGCCAGCGGCCTGACGAGGTGGCCGTCTTCACCATGCGACATTCCAAAAACCAAAGACCAAACGACGAATTTAAAACTCCGCCAGTCTCTCCTTCCTACCGCACAAGAGCGCTAAAACGACGAACAAAACCGATACTCGTGAATGAGCGCCAGGGCTGACGAGGGGGACCCTGTCACCCACGGGCATTCAAAAACCAAGACCAAACGGCGGGATAAAACTCGCCAGTCTTCTCCTCCTTACCGCACAGAGCGGCTAAAACGACAGGAACAAACGATCGTGACCATGCAGCGCCAGGGCTGACGAGGCGGGCCTTCAACCCTACGGCATTCCAAAAAAACCAAGACAAAGGCGCGGATAAAACTCGCCAGTCTCTCCTCCTTACCGCCACAATAGCAGCGCTAAAACGACAACCCGAACGGTCGTAAATGCGCGCCAGCGGCTGACGAAGGGGCCGTCTCACCTTGCGAGCATGCCATAGAAGCGCGGAGGCTGCCGCGTAGTCGTCGCCCTCTTTCGCCTTTCGGTGTCCGTCGACGCCGGCGGCGGAGGGGGCAGCGTGGCGCGGCGTGTCGCAGCGGCGGCGGCGCGGCCTTGCCGCCCGTCGCCGCATCGCCCGTCGCTCGCAGGCATGCGCGCTTGGTGGCGCCTCCCGCCTGGCGCCCGCCACCACGCGCCCCACCCCCGCGCCGACGGAGACGCGGCCGCGCGCTGCCAAAAATCAATCCCCGAAAGGGCCCCCCCGCCCCCCTCCCCTGACGGAACGACGTCCACAGCACACCCGCCTGCTGAATCTTTCATCCGCGGATTGCCCCTGGCTTTGATTACGCCCACGTGCTGCAGCCCTACTGTGTTGGCTCGCGCCCCCGCCCCCCGCCCCGCCCCCGCCTCCGCGCGCCGGGAGACGCGTCGCCGCCTGGCGCGGCCACGCCGCTCGTGCTGGGGTGGCGGGGCGGCGCGCGGCCCGAGGCGGCGGTGGCAGGTGCGGTGGCGTGGCAGTGGTGGCGGCGGCGGCCGGCGGTGGTGGTGGCGGGGGCGGGGCGGCGGCGGCGGTGGTGGTGGCGGGGCGGGGGCGGCGGCGGCGGTTGGTGGTGGCGGGGGCGGGGGCGCGGCGGCGGCGGGGCGGCGGTGGGCGGTGGCGGCAGCGGGCGGGGGCGGCGGCGGGGGCGGCGGCCGGTGCACGCGGAGCGGGCGTGCGGGGGAGTGAGGAGAGGGGGGAAAAAGAGTCAGGGGCAAGAGATTAGGTCGAGCAGAGGACTGCGCGATGCCCGAAAGAATAAGCGGGGGCGTGGCGCTTAGCATGAGTGATATTCACGAGAGGCAAGAGGGGTAAGATGTGAAGGACAGACATCTGAGAAACGGAAGGACAGGTTACGTAACCACAGAGCATAAAAGGAAGGATTGTACTGGGTCTAGAGACAAACTGCAAACGTAAGTCTCATGCAAGTCTAACGACAGCCGGGAACTCGAGCGTAAATACCGGATACGAAAAGGCACTGGGGATTAGGAACGAAAGTCCGTGCCCAATTAGGGTCCAGAAAGGAAAAAGTGGTTGTAACAGATAATTGCACTGTAAGGACACTTCAAAAAAAAGATCAAAGTTAAGCAGATGATATTTGAATCAAGTTGCAGGTGATATCTCGTTGAAAGATAATATATGAAGAATTCAACTGCATATGGCTTGTGTTGGAATAAACAAACTAAGGCGTTAATAAAATAGCGGCCTTGAACCCTTACAACCCTGAAAGGTTTCTAACAATCACGATATTCTCATAGAAGCTAAACGCAAGATGATACGAAAGAGAATTACAAAGACGTCAGAGGAAAAGCAAGGGGGAGGAAGAGGGAAATGAAAACATCTACCAAAGAACTAGGAGAAAAATGTCAAATGAAGAGAGACAAATGTGTGTAAGAGTGTAGTAACGCAGTTACTTAGGGAATTAAATAAGCCAGAAATCTACAATAAAATTCAAACTACGGGAAAACGTATCAAGCACTTCTAAAACAACACAGACCTGTGGAACGTTTGGACAGTCGCGACCGGTAATGACATGGCCCTAAATCAAAGCAGGAACAGCTGCCAACGGATTTCGAGGAAGTCGAGTGAGAGGAGGGACTCGGGCAGTTACGAGACTTGGGGCGGGAAATGTCACGCACGGATGAGTCAGGCCGCCCACCCCTCACCCCGCCGCCCCGGAATTCCGTTACGAGGCGGAGGCCCCGGTTGCGGACCAGAACAGGGGCGGCGCTGCTGCGAACTCGTAAGACCCCCCCCTAGGGCAGCCCCAGGGGCGACCTTATTGGAGTTGGCGGCGCGGACTGTCGCCGTCAGTGGCCTAGTACCGAACCGCAGGAAAAGACAAGGCACGCAATGCGTTGGCTTCAATTGGTGCTGTTTCCTTTGTGGAGGCGTCGGTGACTGCGTGGCCATTAGGGGTTCCGAGACCCCGACATTGGCGGATTTTCGACACTAGCGATGAATCAAACACTGTCTGAAGGATATTTTCTAGCGGGGTGCTCTGCGTCGGTTAGTTTTCGCTGCCCCTCCGGTCAAGAGCAGGCCGGGAACCGGAATAGGTGCCCTTAACAAACGGAAAGAAACACAATGTTTCTTTCCTCTTTCTTGTCCATTCCTCGCGTTTTTCCAACACACACACACACACACACACACACACCACACACACGATACATACTTTTACACACACTAACGAACGTACGACAGACCAGTCGCGAAGCTGGGAGTTTGCACATTGCTGTGGCCGATGCCTCGCTTTGAGACAGCCTATTTCTCGAGATCGAAAAGTCGGACGCCAAATCTCATGATTCTGGCGAAGCGAACAACGCCGCGATTTAACATGCACTTAACTTACGAGACTAATGACTAAGGGGCGGATTTCAGTGAAATGCTTAACTTTTCTTTTCAACTTGTAGACAATACCGTTAGTATAGAAATTCATTTTTATGTATGATAAAACAAAAATTACCCATTTTCATATGTCCATTCTTTTTGCATTTTTGGTCCAATTTCGACTAATAAGTATTTTTACCTTGTTTTCGTCATTTTTTAATGCATTTTTTGCTGATTTCACTATTTTAATATTATTTAATGGATCCTTTCTTCAAACAATATTTACGAGGGTTAACAAAACAAATTTCACCCACGGAATTCCTGGGAAGCATATTCCGATTTCTTTGCTCATAAATCCTAATGTCAGCCGTTGTGAGTACATTGTAATCTAAGGTTCCTGTGACTTTATCGGTCCCATGTCCGTTCGGCCGATTTCGCGATTAAAAAGGCAGACATTTTTTCTTTTAAAGAACAGTCCAATACCAAACGTTTGCAAGAAATATTCACTTGAACAAAAGGAAGGAAGCCTCATTACAGCAGTAAACACACCCAACGAGCTGAGTTTGTTCATCTGAAGTTGGTTTTGATCAAATTTTTTACGGACATTTTCTTTTGGTTTTTTAGGTAATTTTTAAAAGCATTTATTGAATCATTTTTTTGGCAATGTTTTAGTCATCAAAATCCGTCCGCCTACTAATTGATCATAGCAGTTGACACCGTCCGCAAACACTAAAACGATCAATTCAATCAATCAATGCAAATCTGGTAGTGTTAATAACAACTTGGGAGTCATCTGTATATAACGGAAAAACGTATGGCCGAAAGAAGGAATGTTTGCCAATTAATGCAAGTTCGTGAAGAAGCTAAGACGGAGAAGAAAAATTCCCAGACCCTTAAAATCTCTCAAAACTAGTCGGTCCCCGCAGCCTTCTCCGCTACGTCGTTTCGGTAGCCACGAGTTGCTAACAATTACGATCGTCCGATGCAAGGCCGAAAGTTACTCTTGAATTGAATTGAATTTAATATCTTATGTTACGAGGCGAAACTCAGGCCAGTAGGGCCTGCTCTTCCGTCTGGACCACGCAAATTTCGCTTACGCTCCTTTCACCAACTAGCAGAGAGAAGGAGTGTTTCTTGGGCGACGAACAGGCGATTTTGAATTTTAGCTCAGAGCGTCATTTAGGCTTGAGGTTCTTTTACATGAAGTAAATCTACTAACATTGGACAGCCGGCTTTACTTCCGCTCCAAGGAAGGCGTACCGTAGGATTTTTCGCCCTAAAAATCCACGGCTTCCAGCGGTGGAACACGCCAATTTGGATACAAACAGTCCGGTACGCTAACCCTCAAATCGCCGAGGAAGCCACCGGTCCTTGCTCGTCCTCCCCTTGGTTCCGCCGCGCCACGGTACGGCCGGGCACGGCCGCTGTGATGGGCTGGCGGCGCCTCTAGGAAGGCGGGCAGATGAGCGCGCGGGGGGGCGGGGGTAAGTGATGAGCTCGCGGTCGAGAGGCGGGCGGGGAGGGTGCGAGGAAGGAGGGGAGGGGCGGGGAGGGGAGGGCGGGAGGGACGGGGACGGGGCGGGCGGGGCGGGGACGGGATCAGCCAACAACGAGCAGAGTCAGCTCCGCCGGAGGCACGGTGGAGAGGGGGTCGGGGATGTGAGCCGAATAAAAAGAGACAGGAAGGACAAAAGGTTGAAGGGGGAGGGGAAAAGATGCGCGCGGAATAGGGTTCGGAGGAGAACGAACGAGGCGGGGAAGCTGGAGAGGTGGGGCCGAGGGAGGGGACTGAAGCAGGAGAGGCGGGGAACGCAAGGGTGATTGACTGTGAAGGGCGTCGGGGAGAGGAAGATATTGCATGCCGAGTGGGGGAAGGAGAGGGTAGGAAACAAAAGCAGGAAGGAAAGATCTGGGCGACAGGCGGACAGGCAGAGGCGGGGTGGGGGGAGACCCGTAAAGAGGCAGGGCGGGGAGAAAGGAAGACGATGGCGGGAGATATGGCGATTGGAGAGGTCAAATGAACGAAGGGGAGAAGGGGAGGCGATGCGGGAGAGCGCAAGTGAAGAAGGCTGGGAAGGAAGAGGCGGTGAAAGGAGAGGCTGATGCCGGCAGAGGACGAATCTCCTCTTTCCTCCTCCTCCGTGGTTGTTGTCTTTTTACTTTTTCTTTTTGTTTTTTCTTCTTTTCTTGAGCAGAGATCCCATTCTCTGCCACCTCACCCGCCTTCTCCTTCCCCGCCTCTCCTTCCCAGCTTCTTCACTTGGCCTCTCCCGAACATCGCTCACCCACTAACCTCCCCTATACTCTTCATTTGCCTCTCCATCCCATATCTCCCCATCTCTTCCTTTTTTCCCGCCACTCCTCTTACGGTCTCCCCCAGCCCGCCTCTGCTGTCCGCCTGTCCCCCATATCTTCCTTCCCTGCCTTTTGCTTTCCTACCTCTCCCTTCCCCACTCATCATTCGCTCTCCCCGACCCCTTCAGTCATCAGCCCTTCCGTTTCCCCGCCTCTCTCTTCCAGTCTCCCCCGCCCCACCTCTCCCTTCCCCGCCTCGTCGTTCTCCTCCCGGCCTCATTTCGCCGCGCATTCTTTTCCCCTCCCCTTCAACCTTTGTCCTTCTTTCTCTTTTTATTACGCCACACCCCACCCCCCTCTCCACCCCCTCCGGCGGAAGGCTGACTCTGCTCGTTGTTGGCTGATTCCCGTCCCCGCCCCGCTCCCCGCCCCGTCCCTCCCTCCCCGCCCCTTCCCCTCCCCGCCCCTCCCCTCCCCTCCTCGCCCCTCC